GGGGCCGCACCTACGGGCTCCCCACTGCAGGTGCGAAAATACCAGAAGCAGCTAACTTTAGAATTTGTCTAAGTCCATATTCTCATCCGTTAAGCATCCGAAATTCACCCGAGGCCCCCCCGACCTAACCAAACATGCCAACCAATCCTAAAACATTATACGAACTTAGTCGAGCCCTCAAATTACATCAAACAACGCTAAAACCATGAATCACCCTCCAATCCAAACCTAATGAACTTGAATTTCTAAAATTCTACATCCGATGCCGAAACCAACCAAACCACGTCCGATTGACCCCTAATTTTATACACAAGCCATATTCAACACCATGGACTTACTCCAACTTCCGAAATCGGATTCCGACTCCGATATAAAAATTTCCACTATCGGCTCGAAACTCTAAAAATTCAACTCTCGCCATTTCAAGCCTAAATAGGCTACGGACCTCCAAAACATGATCCGGACACACCCCTAAGCCTGAAATGACCCGACGGAGCTAACAAAATCGACAAAATTTCAATCCGGAGCCGTCTTCACACTGTTCCGACTACGGTCCAAATTCTAAGTCTTAAGCTCACATTTAGGGATTAAGTGTCCCAAAACACTCCAAAACTCAAAATGAACCATCCCAACAAATCACAATTGCAGAAATAGACACAGGGAAGGCAGTTAATAGAGGATAAGGCCATTAATTCTCAAAATAACCGGCCGGGTCGTTACATGAAATCTAAGAAGAAAAAATAATATTTTTCATCTACCTCAACTATGCCAAATATGAGTCCTCCTCTTCCTCGCCATCATCTACCTCATCCTCCTAAGTCGACTTTATTGCCATCTACCATGTTCACTATTCCCCCTCCATCTAATAATTCAGTTCGGTATTATTCTATGCCTGCCAAAGAAAGTCAAAGTAACACTGTTTTGACTTTATACCCATACTTTCTATACCATCTTCTTCACCGGGATTTCATGATAGTCAGCATGGTGGCTCACCAGCTGCTCGAGCTTTCATGGTAGTTAGCATAGTGGCTCACCAGCTGCTGCATTCCTGAGCTTTCATGATAGTCAGCATGGTGGCTCACCAGATGCTGCATCCCCGAGCTTTCATGGTAGTCAGCATGATGTTGCTCGATCATCTTCCACACCATTATCATCATCCACTCCCAGCATATCTAGGTTGGATATTGGAGGCTCTATCCCAATTACATCTAGTGATACTTTTACACCTTCAACTAGATGCAAGCAGAATCTTGGAGGGGATGTACAATATGATAGTTATAATCTGTTGATAATCGTCCCCTACGAGGATGAGTAAGTAATTCTTATACTATTTTTAAAGTGTTGAATGTGCTTTTAGATATGTTAAAATTTAGGAATATTTATTTATAATTAAAACTTTTGAAATTTTAAGATGTTTATTAATTACATATATTAACTTTAACGCGGATTTTTGCCATCCTTTCAGTCTACACATTTGGTTGTGGATTCTATGAAGCTATTTTATCATGAGTCGTAGAATTCTTGAAGACAAATACCGTACAACATCAGAGAGCAAATGTGGAATCAATTTAGGGTAAAAAATAATTAAATTTATTTAATAATTATCGTCTTCATCTAATGTTACTTTTTTATATTGCAGACAAAGTGTAAATGGCATCCTCTGCATCAAAATAAAATAAATGCTATTTTCAAGAAGAAGGCTGCTAAGCGAATTAAAGATACTTTGTTCGCTGCTCGAAATGCTGGTAAAATACCAGAGTGGTTAAGCGAAGATGTTTGGAATAAACTTCTTGCCAAATGGAATACCGATGAATGGAAGAAGAAAAGTGAGCAAACAAAGGCAAACTGCGCCTCCAGTAAAGGTGGCTCGTTGCACGCAGGAGGTTCGATTAGTTTTGCGGCCCATCAACTAAGATTGGTAATTACTTATACAAAATTCTTAGTTTTACATAGAATTTTACGATTGTAATGTATAACTCATACTTTTTGTTATGAAGGAAAAGGAAAGAGTGCGAGATATGAGTCATGCTGAGGTTTTCGAGGAGACGCATAAGAAAAAGAAGAAGAACGGTACAAGAGAACACTGGGTGGAGACGCGTGCGTCGGACACATATATAAAATACTAACTTCATAATTATTTACGGTTCATTAATATTAGTTGTTTACTTAATAGTTATGTTTTCATTTCAGGACAATTATGACAAGGTGGAAGAATGGCAATAAACTCAGCCTCCTTCAACTCAACAAACACCTGATGATATGGCTTCATTGTGTACACCGGCAGCGGGTGGAGTAAACAAAGGCAGAGTCTACAGACTTGGAGTACGCCGACCTATAGGTCATCCAAACTCACTCTTAGCTGATTCTTCTTCTTCGCAAAATTAAGAACATATGGAAGATATGAGAAAAGAAATTCGTGATTTGAAGCAACAATTGGGTAAAGAAATTTTATTTTTTAACTATTAATTTACGGCCGAATCGGTCGGTAAATATTTATTTTTATTATTTAATTTTAAATATATATTTATTTTTATCTAAAAAATTACGACTGATTAGGTCGGTAAAATTTCGACCACTTTGGACGGAAACTTGAAAATAATTTGGTCGTCTGACCTTTTGAACGTTCCGACTACTTTGATCGAATCGGATGCGGTCGGAAATTATTTTCCGACTAACTGTTTTTCGAACGACCAATTTTGGTCGGAAAGTAGACGGGAATCCATGATTTCCAACCGTTTTTCGACGGATATCGTGGTCAGAAATCACTCTTTTTCTGGTAGTGTGTATACCGACTAGAAAAAGTAAAGGTTTATTGGTTTAACGTTTCACCATTTCACACCTTAACAGTACGAATATTTGTACCGACGTATCAATCAAATTGTCAATCCATTTGGTGAAAAGTGTGATATTGTTTGTCAAACATCCAATATTTTCAAGTTTTAGTTTGTCAAAAGTATTCCGAAAATTGCACCTATAACCACTCTCACCCGCACAAGAAAATAATTCTTTTGCATTTTAAAAATTCTTTGATTCAAAAGGCGATATAAGTAGCATGTAATTTTTCATGCAAACAAGTAAGACAGAAGATATTTACACTCCACTTTTGCCCTTTCCTATTTTACTGTTCTTAATATGCCCTCATCATTTATTCACAATATCGTAAAAACGTTCACGTCCTATATTTATTACTCCCCAATTATACTAATTTATCATAATTGAATGATAAACTTAGTAAGAATATATATATATTAACTGACTATATTTTAGTGATAAAAACAGTATGTTAAGATATGTATCATATATTCAGGTTATTTATGCTTAATTACGACTTACGAGGCTGGCCACAAAAAAAAAAAAAAAAAAAGCAATCAGGTAAACATTTCGAACATCGAGAAATTATTATGTCACTTCCTAAAAGTAACGTAATGGCTTCTCATCACTAGTTGAAATTCCAGTTAGGTCAACATACACCTTTAGTTTGTTTGTGATTGTCTTCACATGGTTTAATCATATTGGTCTAGATACACATTCTAAGGCTATAAGTAAAGCAAACTGCTGTAATTATCTTTGACCATAGTTTCTTCAATTAAGGAAGGGATAAAAAACTAAAAAATGAAATATGGAAATGGTTGTATAACTTTCTCCCTATAAAGGTTAAAATTCACAAAAATTAATTGTAAAAAGCATGCAATACATTATCAACGTGTGCAACTTAAATCTTTCTCTTGAAAGTTTTCTTCTATGAGTGATAAACTATATCTCGTTAAACTTGCCAATTTCTCTATATATACCAATGCATGTGCTTTTTTTTTTTTTCATTCTGACCCATCACAACAAAACTTCCAGTAAATGGAAAGTTTGGAAAGAAAGTTCACATATGCAAGGAAGGAAAAAACTTCAAAAAATGTATTTCTTTTATTTAATACCTTGAATAACTGAGTGATCAATTATACAAAAATTGTTGATGAGTTGTTTGGCTAAAAAGGTATATAAGCTAGAGATTTCAAATTATGTAGCATCTCTAGATTCTAAGTATTATAAGTTCTAGTAACAAGCTATTTTTGTGATTAAATGACAGTTTCAACATGCCATCTTAAGCATTTTAGTATTCCAGTACCCCCACATGATCTTTACTAAAAGAAGGTCAAAATTTGACCACTGCATGAACAGTTCTATAAAAATGGTTGATCGAATACTATATGTCTTTTACAATTATGATGCCAAATTGATAAGAAAGTGTGGGTAACCTTTTACTACAATATATCCCTTTTCTTTTAACTGACTGATTCCTTTTTCAATTGTATATAGGAGAGTTGGGACTAGTTTACTCTATTGGTTGAGGGCACTATTGAAAAGGTTAAAACGTCTTTTTTTTGTGGTGCATAAGAACTTACTAAAGACAATATGGTCTGCAATTCTTGGCATGAAGCATCATAGATAAAATCAGTATCAGATTCCAATTTGAATGGAGTTAAAATGGTACACATAAAACACAATAATGAACGTCCTTGGGTTCCTCCTCAAATAGAATGTTCATTGACTTGAATTTTGGGTAGTTGAACTTGCCCTTTCAGGTGTATATTTACCTATTGTGTATGGTTTTGGTTGATAATGTTTTGAATCTTTACCTTTTGTCTTCTATCCAATGTTATCTATCTGTTGTCTTTTGGACCATTTTTGTGTATAGCTAATTGTCAATGCAACATAATAATCAATGAGAAAGAAGGCATTCAGAGGATTCAAATATAACACTCCCTCAGTTTTAATTGTGTCTTATTTTAAATTTAAAATACGTAATATATCAAATTGTCCTAAATCTTTTGATATTAAACTGTGAAATGTTGGAGTTAAACAGTTATCAAATATAAAATGTAACATTTTTTAATATATAACATAAAAAAAAAGTAAAGTATAACATATAAATTGATGTAGATGGAATAATTCATTTAATTATATTGAAGTAAATCAACACTTGTAGACATGCATTCGTTAGAACGGTATCAGTAAGTCCCAGTGGCTAAGAATAGCCAGCAGAGGTTGTATTTAGTAATCAAGTCAAAAAAGGTGAAAGAGATAAAAAGAAATAGAAAAGATTACATAATGTGTCTTGTCTCATTCCCATTTTTCCTACCCTCACTTCATAATTTCCTTCAATACTCCCTTCTTCTTAAATCTAAATTTTAGGAAAAGAAGACCAGAATATAAGTCAATTTTCTTGTGATGTTAGGAAATAATACTCCAATCAGCAAGGGGAACCTTTCCGGCAAGTAAGGGCGCCGGCACCGGAAACAATGGAGGTTATTAGGGAAGAGGGTTTAGCACTCAAGCTTGAAGCCTTGGCGTAGCTTGAAGAGGCTGCAGCTCCTGATTGAACGAAATATGCACCATTCAACATTAGGTCCCCATCTGTTCTCCAATTCCATTTCTTCCACTCGCTTTCTGCTGCATCCTCATGCTTCGTCACCTATATATATAGTTCCAGCAATTTTATAACTTTAGGGGTCGTTTGATTTGCAAGGACTATAATGCAGAAATTGTTTACACAGCGAACAATAATAAATAAATTGTTATGTTGTGAATAGGTGTCGCGGGTCGGTATGAGCGGGTCGAAAATGGGTAATTTAAAAAAACGGATAAATTATCCGACCCAATCCGTATTTGAGACGGATATAAAATGAGTTATCCGGCAGATAATATGGATATCCATATTACCCATAGCTTCTTGAATATGATAACTTATGCAAGAATTCTTAGTCTCCCCAATTTGAGGCTTTACAAATGTAAAAGTTAAACACATTAGTTATCCATTTGATTAATCATTTTCTAAGTGGATAATATGATTCTTATCAATATTCAACCCGTTTTTAAAAAGTTCATTATCCAACCCATTTTTTAATGGATAATATGGGTAGATAATCCTATTCTTTTAACCATTTTCCCGCCTCTAGTTATTGTAAACAATAATATACCCAAAAGCAAGACTTTAATTGCTAAAATTGAAAGTTAATTACCTCTTTGCTAAATCTGATATCAGGAGCAAGGAATCTGTTGCCCTGGCTATTGATGGTGGGATTAGCACTCCCACCAATAGCATACATTTCCCAGTGGGTATAGTCATTGTTCACCACATGAAAGTAACCATGTCTACATCTACATGTTTCAAAAGACCAACAATTTTCATTAAATTCTACTCCTATAACATAGATTCAATTTGCTTCCTATCTAATTTCGAGACAAGTATAAAGTAGCTTTTTGCTTTTATATATTTACCTTGGCATTCTTTGGACAAGGCCTTCTCCAAAGTGATTGAAGGCAACTGTTACTTGCATGTTCTTGTCTTGGACATGGGAATCACTGTGTCCCAACAGCATAACTTTATCATGGTGAGTCATGTAATTGTTAGAAATGGTAATTGCAGTGGAACCCATAATAGCGTCAATCAAACCATCTTTGCAATTTGACAAGGAACAATGGTCTACCCATATATGACTCCCCCCAAAAATGGATACTCCATCACCATCTGATATAGTCCTCCACCCATAATGCTGTGGAGAGCTCCTCACCATAGTATTCCCACCTTGCTTACAATCATGTATGTGAATTCCATGGATGATAATATTGGTCACGTATTGCATTGTTATGCATGGTCCACCTGCAACGACGAATTCAAAATTTAAATTAATTAATAAGTTAACCTTTAACGTTTTCCGTACGTACTTTTGAAATTATAGGTATAAAATTTATTATTTCTTAAAATGTTAGTGATTATTCAGTTGAACTCATTGAATATATAAGCTATATCATCTGCCTATGAATACATGCAATATGAACGCTAGCTCCTCTTCCATCAATAGTCTTGAATGAGTTCATAATAAGTTCTTCTTTCAGCTGGATCACCATGTCCCTAGCAAAAATGATCCATAATGGCTCGTTTTGAATGACAGCATATCGGAGAGTGCCCGGTTTAGGGTTAACAGGATCGTCGTTGCCGGAATCAGTGACCACGTAAATCTTGCCATCTTTGCCGCCAATGGCATTCTTGCCAAAGCCAATAGCACATTCAGCTAGCCTTTGGCGGTTCTTTTCCCAGTTGGGATCACAACGCCAGCAATCATCTATAGGGTTTCCCGTGCCACAAGAGAGATAGCCCAAGTTCCTCCTTGAGGCATTGTTTATACTGCTGCAAAGAAAGCAAAAATAAAAGAAAATGTGAAATCTTGTTGAGCATATATATGTATAATGTACCACCAAGAAACATAGTAATAAGCTAAGAATAGAGTGATATGTGAGACATGCAAAATGTACCTATGTACGTGATCAACAACAGATTGGGGATTTTGTAAGGTAGAAGAGGCAAAATGAGAAGGAATTAAGAGAAGATAGGACAGGAGGAAAAGGGGAGAAAAAGAGGAGATGGCCATGTATTTTTTCTCAAAGGTGGAAAGGGCTTATGAGGTGGGGTTAGTGAGAGAATTAAGAAAAGAGAGAGAGTAAAGGAGCTTTGGCTGGGACGAGGAAAAAAAGAGAGGGAAATAGAGGATGTTATAAAGAGAGAAAAGCCGGGGAAATTGGCGTAATTAAACCAAACGAGTGGGGTATCTTTAACCTTCTTGATTACATGTTTTACGGAGATTCCTCGACAAGGGACTATTAAGATTACTGTTGCGGAATATCGCGAGTTAACTAGGACACAATCACACACAAAGCAAATAGTGAAGAAAAATCAACACAAGGATTTAACGAGGTTCGGCTAAGCCTAATCCTCGGGGCAAAAGCAGAGAGAGTTTTCCACTATGAATGAGAATAAAAACACAATACAATCTATAGAATCTCTAACTACAACCCCTATATATAGATCCCAAAAGGTCTCAAACATATACGAGAAAGTTTCCCAATTTGACAAGGACTATAGGTTTTCCTTTCTCAAATCTACTATGAATTTTCTAAAAATACAAAAAAATAATTTAAGTCACAAATAACAATTACGGTAAAAACTTATTTGCAACATGTGCTTAATTTACACTAAGTTAATAAATACATCAACTATAATATTCGTTTAGACATAGAGTTCATACATAATCATGATTAATCAATAACTATAATAAAGTAATAATAGTTTTGTGTAAACATCAAAGAGGGATACAAGGAGGAGTATTTGCAGGGACGGTGTTAGAAGGTAATGTATGAGTTCAGCGAATGCATTAGCTTTAATCCAAAATCTATATTTGTATTTAAAAAATCGATTAAATATGTATAGTAATTGAATTTAAATCTTGGTTTTTAACACATGATCTCGATATTCTAGAATTTAGAACTACAAATGTTCAAATTTCGACTTCGCCTTCAGTATTGATACTTTTGGCCATTGAGCAAGAATCCCTAGCTAGTTATTTGAAGCAATTCGGTGCACTAAACTCTTCCTAGTCGTGAAATTCGCAGTAAAAATTGGACCACATTGGGACGAAGCTCGTCAGCAAGCATATAGTTGGAAAAGAAAAAAAAAATCTCTCATCACTCCATTTGTCTTTCTACTTTAGCATATCTTTTGGAGATCATAACTTTGACATGCAAAAGGTTATAACTTACTTTATTTTTAGGTTATTAATACACACTTGTCATAAAAATTATTCGAGCTTAATTTTTGAATCACTTGATACTGTAAATTTTTTTAGCTTCCTGATCAATATAGAAAATTTAATCTGTTTGTTCAAAAGAATAATGGAGTATTGATGATAGGCTATAATTACGTATTTTAGTCGATTATTACACTCTAATTTACAGCACTTTAATTGAGTCTGAGCTTTAATCGCTAGTGTTTTGCACTAATTGTATGTTTTATGCCTTGTAGGAGTGATTCCGAGCTATATAGATGTTATGGAATGAATTCAAGTGATTTGGAGCATTAAAGTTTGAGTAAAAGTTCAAGCAATTAAGCCGGGATCGTGTTTAGGGGTCAACGGATGATAGTTAGAGTGAACGAAGACTCCAGTAGGCAGATTGTGCACTGTCTAGTAAAATAGACATAACCTTTTGCTCAGAACTTCATTTTGGCACCACAATATATGGTTGGAAAGCTAACTCAAAGGGCTACAACTTTCGTGTTTTACGTTTTTCCAAATTCGGAACGGAACAGGGTGAAAAATGCCCAGATGCGCGTCCGCGTTAGTTTTAGCGCGCCCAGAAACAGAAAGTCAGCCAATTAGCGCGCCCAGATGCGCGGTCAAATGCGCTGCAGCACTAGTTAAGCCTGGGAAAAGTGTCTTTTTTCACATTGGAGAAGGTATAATTGTTTGGGCCTAACCCTACTTGGTATATATACATAGGAGAACGTTTTTTAGAGCAATTTTTGACCAAGGAAGAGCTCAGAGCCGCCGTGGAGGCCGGGGTTCATCTTTTCTTTCTCCAAACTTAGTCTTTTTATGTTTCTTTGTATGATTTGTTGTTGCTACCATGTCTATGTGGAGCTAAACTTCACGTTCTAGGGTTATGGTTCTTTCATGACTATTGTTATTCGGATATTGATTTTGATTTCTTGATTTATCGTATTGGTTTATTTATTCAATCCTGCACTTAATTATTTGATTGCTTGATCACCAATTGAATACTATCTACGAATCTAGAGTTGAACTCGAAAGTGGGAATTCTAGATTGCATATAGGGTTGAGTAGAGCAAGTTCTTGAACCTGGGCCTCGGGGAACGGATTAGCAATTAGGATAGACATATACCTAATTGCCTTGCTTGGTTGATTTACAGAAATTATAAAATGCATTCTTGTTAGTTCTAATTCCATAGAATATAGGCGTTAGGTTAGCTTGAATAGGCGATCTCCCTATTCCTCCTACCGTTTCACCTCAAAAATCCTACCTTCATACTCTAACATCTACACACCATAATTTCTCCTCACCTACTAACCATGATCCTTCACTAATTTCCACACCTACTGAGGATGAACTAGAGGCCCCAGTAGCTGCCTCAAATTTTATCCTACTTTCCCTCGAAGAAAAGAGTAGACTTTATAAACCCTGGCACCATGTAGTCATTGTTAAGGTTTATGGTCGAAAAGTGGAACACCAAATACTCCGACAAAAAATTTATACTCTTTGGCAACCTACAGAAAATCTCCCTCTAATTGATCTAGGTAATAATTTCTTTCTTCTAAAGTTTCAGAAGGAAGAAAATCAAATTCGTGCTTTACAAAATGGCCCTTGGTTCACTTTGAATCATTTTCTCTCCGTTCGTCAATGGGAACCAAAATTTATGGCATCGGAGACGAAAATAAATTATCTGCTATATGATTACGTCTACCGGAATTACCTACTGAATTTTATGATTTTCATATTCTTCAGCAAGTAGGTAATAAGGTTGGTAAATTATTATCAGTGGATAATTGTACTTCTTTAACAACAAAGGGTCGTTATGCTTGATTGTGTGTTGAAATTCCGCTGGACCAACCTTTAAGCTCACACGTTTATATTGGTAATCATAGGCAAAACATCTGAAGGATTAAATTTGCCATGCCTTATATGTGGTCGAATGGGACATAACCAACGAGTTTACACTTATCACATCCAAGATGTACAACCTACGGATATTAATCTTCTTAATCCTCAAGCTAAACCTACTCCTACACATCCACCATCAAAGGCAGAATGGCAAACAGTACAATTTCCAAAGAAAAAATATTTTCCTAAATCTAGTACTACCACTGGTGAAAAATCCAATAACAATACGGAGGTTTCCTGTAAGTTATCAAATTTTCATCCTCCAATTTTTCCCTTTACCCACTTATCCATTAAACACCCAACTCATATACCTAATACAAACCCTCACACGCCCCAGCCTAATCTTTCTGCTTTCCGCACAAATACTTATGCCTCATTAATTAATGAGGATTTGGAAATCACTAATACACCGCCTCAACAAGCAAAAAATCAACCAAGCACTCAAGTGCCTAGTCAATCGGTCTAGTCAAATGTTGGTCCAAATTTCAGTCCACTTTCACCCTCAATTGAAGACCATGTAAAGGGCCACGTCAGCCTTCCTCACATACAAACACCCTCTCTCATCACTCCCTCACCAAATACTTTGCAAACCCTAAAATCTAACACATACGAAACCATTACACCTCCTCTTTCTTCATCAGCTAGCCCTAACCCTACCTTTTCAATTGCCATGCAAATAGGCAATCGTTACTTTCCCACCTCTTCACACAACACAAACACATTACCACCACATCAATCAATCCAACCGACTTCATACTCCATTGACACAACCTCCACTATATCTCTATTAAATCCGGACACACAGTTTCATACTCCACCTACCAAACCAATTAATTCAACTTCAAAAATCCACCATCAAAAGGATGTTCTCTCCCAATTTCAATTACCTAAGGAGACACTATTCAACACTCAACCAGTCCAACCATCGTTTACTCCACAATCATGCACCTCACTCTCTTCCACCCCCACACTTGATTATGGAACCAAACACCATAATTTACACTGCACAGACTCCCCATGCACCAACGCAACTCACATCTTGGCTGGAGACCGGACTACAAAGCCATGCTCTCACTTTCACGATGGAAGTCAACCATCAAGAAGTGACCATCCTTATCAATCACCTCAGGGACCTGGCTCAGATTGTGATGGAAGGCATGCAACTAGGAATGGAGATTTACAGCAGGTACCATTGGTCAATGACCCAAGCTCCCTACATTGCTCCATACCAACAACCTCCCCTACCAACACCCTCTTGGGACCTTCTTCATCTTCATCCACACCTTCTCCAAATGCCTTTTTATCCACACCCCCACAATACCACCCCTTGGATACAGCCTAATTGGGATCCACTACCACCTCCAACCCCAGTCTCATCTCCCACTCAATCACCCCCTCACAGTCCCCCTCAAGAAGGACAAGACCAAAATTTTCAACAGGAACTCGATGCAGCAGTCGCATACAACAGAGAAACTCGGCCAATTCATGCATTTCTAGATGGAATAAAAGTCTTTGTCCAGAAGGAGGAATACAAAAGAAAGATATATATATATATATATATATATATATATATATATATATATATATATATATATATATATATATATATATATATATATATATATATATATANTCTCCTATCAACCTCCTTCCGTCTCAGGCCAACCACAAACCCAGCAGTAGGAAAATATGCAATGCTTCTAATACCCACTTTCGTCTTTAGGACAGTCCATACGATCTCTCAAAGGGGTCAAACGACCAATCGTCTGTTTGATATTACTGACAGTCACATGAATTTTATTGTTTGGAATTGCAGGGGGGTTCACTCGGATGATTTTAGAAGGAATTTTCGATCCTTACTTGACTACAACAGGCCAGCCCTAGTTGNTACAACAGAGAAACTCGGCCAATTCATGCATTTCTAGATGGAATAAAAGTCTTTGTCCAGAAGGAGGAATACGAAAGAAAGATATATATATATATATATATATATATATATAAGGTGT